CCCTGGTGGTGACCGTCCATCTGACCAATTATCCCTGGTGGTGACTGTCCATGTGACCAATTGTCCCTGGTGGTGACCGTCCATCTGACCAATTATCCCTGGTGGTGACTGTCCATGTGACCAATTATCCCTGGTGGTGACTGTCCATGTGACCAATTATCCCTGTTGGTGACTGTCAATGTGACCAATTGTCCTTGATGGTGACATCCATGTGACAGATTGTCCCTGATGTTGACATCCATGTGACAGATTGTCCTTAATAGTGACTGTCCATATCTGAATATTTTTCATAACATATGCATAGCAAAGTTTCATTTTAACAGTTCCCATTTTATAAGCCTTATAGAAACTGCAAATAATGTTCGTTAGTTATGGCATCTGTGTGATAGTAACTAAGTATTACACACAAATGTGAAAAATATGGTTTAAAACAGAAGCTGGATTAGGGTTACCGAGAGTTATTTTATTTCGGTCAACAAAGGCTTAAGCTACTCCCTGTCTAGACACTAAGTGTAGGCAGACTTCTAATTAGACCAAGATCATGTCAAGTGTTTTATTTGTTTTGTTGGTGTGTTTTTTTCTGTCTGCATGTTTTCTGATCCCTGCACAGACTGAAACTCTGCCACTGTCCATTTCTTCTGATGACTTCATGTTTTGATATTGTGGATCTTTATGCAGAAATATCCTTTGTTTCCTTCTCATGATCATTCAGTACCATATATATGCTGATCCTTGTATAGACTGATCCTTTGTGGCTGTCATGTTTTTCTTCTGATGACTTCATGTGTATCTTTATAGAGAAATATCTTTTGTTTCCTTCTCATGATCTTTCAGTACCATATATATGCTGATCCTTGTATAGACTGATCCTTTGTGGCTGTCATGTATTTCTTCTGATGACTTCATGTGTATCTTTATAGAGAAATATCTTTGTCAATATCTGTTGTTTCCTTCTTATAAACAGTTAATACCTTATATTTCCTGATCCTTGTAAAGACTGATCCTTTGGGACTCTCAGGTTAGTTTCCTCTGTCTTCATGCCTCCATATTTCATGATTTTCTACAGACATATTCTGTATTATCTCCGGTGCGTTCATTGTTTGCCTATCCTTGTCTTACTAACTGTTATTTCATTATGATGAATTTCCAGTTCATTTATTTTCTGGTCTATTCTTTAGCTATTTGTTTTTGATGAGTACATTCCAGTGTGATGATTCTTTTCAAGACAAATCTTCATCACTTTCATGTTTGATGATCCTTTAAGAGAGACAGATTCTCTAGTTTTCACTTCTTTGCCTTGGACATCTACTGGATGCAGTACTGTATTACTTGAACGTACCCTTTCCAATCATTTGTTTGTTGTTTTTCCTGGATTGATGTGCCATGTATGCAGTCGGATCTGTTCTACGACAATAACATTGATACTAACATGGCAGTAGATACTAACATGGCAGTAGATACTAACATGGCAGCAGATGATATCGGTTTCTACATCAGGTTCTAAACTGTAATTCAGACTGGTTCTCCATTGCTGATTTGTCTCAGTATGCAAGAATCCAACGGCGCTGGTCATATTCCACCTCTGGTACGCCTTTGACCATTTCATCCCAAAGGACTGGACAGTTATGTCTTCAAGTTTCATAATGGCCAAATCCTGACATTCATCAACATGAAGGTCTTGAGCTGGCCCTGAATTCCAATACTGGGCCTTGCATTAATGTGGCTGCTTGCCTTGTATGTCACCCTCTCAGTCAGATGCATCTAGGAAACAGCTGGTGTGGCCGTCATGTCAACCATACTCAAATGTCTTGGAACTATGTGAAATTATTAATTATTAATTCACAAAAACATTTATTTTTTTCAAATGTGGTTTGTATTCTGATAACAAGATTTGATTTCTTCAACTGTTTCTTTGTACTAACTTTGTCATGTCCTTCAAGTACTATTGCATTCTGAAGATACAACACTGTTTATTTTACAAAATAATGAGATTGTATGACATAAATTCCATCATGCAATTTTTATTATGTTTTATTATCCAGAATTATTGGTATGTCCACTTGTTTAACTCTATACATGTCCTTTTCACATTATAATCATTCTAAAGTCAGAGTCTGGAGAGAATTAATCCATTAAGTACACCATCTTATATCTCATAACAGATGGATTTTACATAGTGTCTGAATTCCAGCACAAACAATGCAGTCATAATTTCATTACAAATCTGTAACAATAATTGTTGAACAATCTGTTTACAATATCACAATTATCATATTCATTGCAAGACATTTGGAGGCTCTTTATATCATTTTTAAGCTCACAAAAGATGTATTTTGGGGTCACCATGGACCTGGGTCCGTTGTTGTCATGTTCATAGTAATCCAGACATACACAGGTTTACATAATATTAAATTAAGACAGCTGTATAGAGCCAAATCAATAATGGTAACCTAATTATGCAGTGGAGTATATCATGCAAATGAAATTTAGTAAAGCTAGAGTGTGTTGGTTAGCAAGCAGAACATGCGGTACAATTGACATTGTCAAAAAATGCTGACTCAGGAATATTTTAAAATTTTAAATCATTAGTCATCAGTTTGTTGAAATATGCATTTTCAAGGACAGGTTTGTGCAGAAAGCTTTCAATTCTATACAGATGTCTACAGATCATTATTCAAGAGAGATATTTATTCAAAATATTGTAAAAAATATCATTAATATAAAATGTACATACTAGTGATTTATGATTATCATTTTTTTATATTCTAGAACAAATATATTTAGTGATATGTGAGTGAAATAGGTTGACTATGTAAACTCAATGATCCATAAAATGATAACGATTCTACCATTTTCAGTATTTTCATTTGATGCCAAATTTCATTTCCAGTGCTTAAAAGAATGAAACATTCAGACTGATAACTGATAGCTGACCCCAAACTGATAATCATGTGAAGGTGCATGTTTCTGGCAGTCACTGTTGCATTAATGTGGATGTCATGAAAGTGTTGTAGACATATGGCATAATGGCACTCCACTACAGGAATGCTATGAACAAGTCCCAGGTGCCATAAGATCAATGCCTGTCACACATTCAGCAGACTAGATGGTGCTAACGACATGTTACTGACAAGATATGGACAGCATTTGGAAGCCTATGAACATGCCTTAACATGCTGTGTAGCAAGTTCTGCTGAAGCAATAGACGTTTCAATTGAGCAATTCACATCACAAAAGGAACTTTATGGCTTCTGTGTTGGAATGGGTCATTTTCTGGTGTTATGTTCCCCTTTGGAGCATTTGAACATTTTCTTGGTGTCTGTATCGGTGACTTCTGGGATCATTTCATATAATGTTTACATCATTATTTTACCTTTTATTGGTATCAGAATCTCTTTCTCTAGAGGGATGGTGGGGTAGCCTAATAGTTAAAGCGTTAGCTCGTCACGCCGAAGACCCGGGTTCGAATCCCCACATGGGTACAATGTGTGAAGCCCATTTCTGGTGTCCCCCGCCATGATGTTGCTGGAATATTGCTAAAAGCGGCGTAAAACCAAACTCAGTCAGTCTTTCTCTAGAAGAGAGAGTTGTTGTTCTCAGGCCTTGACATTTTGAATGTAATTTTTTAACAGAGAATGATTAATTACTTTTTAATTTATGTGTCCTAATGCAATGACATGGTGATAAATCACTGTGTTTATGCATGTATGCAAAACAATCCTTGACACTATGAACCCTAATATAGTATGAGATAGAAACAAGTTTATACACTGTATTCCAATTTCACCGCCCCTTAAATAACATGTCTTGAAGAGCCTGTTTCACTGACTCAGCACTGACAAGGCTGACAAGTCACCAGGTGCAGAACATGCACATTGTTTCCTGGGCAATTGCTGTGCCTGATCTTATATAGCATATCATCTCTCATGTCTAACGTGACGAGCTGACAGTTCATGTCTCAGAGTAGCTAAGATGTCGGAAATGGCATCATCTCCAAACCTCTTGAACCAGTCTGTTCCAGTTTAGCTGCAACTGTCCACGCATGACTGCCTTCACATTCACAAGTCACTGGAGATGCAGGATCATCTATAATTTACACACTTGCTCCAAATATGATTTTGTTCACGATACAGCTGAGGAATTGCCATTGTCATCCGCTTTTTGTCTCTACTAGTTATATCCTTAAAGTGATAAGAATACCAGTACTTCATTTCTTTCACATTATATTGTGGTTGACTATGGTCCTTTGTAGATAGGAATCATATCAAGCATGTCTACCAAAACATGGGATTTGAGGTTTTCCCCATGGCAACAGGGAAATAGTATAGTGACACAGTAAAAAGAAATAGACATAGAAGCTCTCCTTGCAGTACATCATATCCAAGACATAAATATCTGACACAGTAATCATTTAGGGACAGTATTATTAATTGCTATGTATTCTTTTACGTACAAAATGACAAAAACATAGCTATGAGATATATCTTAAGAGTCCATTGTGTGAATAATCATTAGCATGTGTTTACCAATTCTAAATATGACACTAAAGTTGCATGTTGTATTAAGGGCAATAGTTAGTCGAGTGGTAAATGCATCTAAGACTGATGTCCTTTTAAGAGTTCTTAAGAGTTCTGATTCTTAGATCAGGTGTTCTTTGGCATGATTCTGTTTCTGTGATATTGATAGAAAGTATAGAAAGAAATTCAAAAGCAACATGCTACTAGTGTCCAATAATTTATAGTATAAGGTAATTCCCAGGTGGTCAAGTAGTCATAGGTGCAGCAAGATGTCTGGTGAGATGCAGGCCTGGGGTTTGAATCCCAGGTTCACCCAACTCAAAATCCTTCATCTTGTCAAGTTGCATCAAGTATTTTAATATATCAAACTACCTATAACCTGCATCTCTTTGGACTTTCCTCAAGAACATGTCATGTTAGATCTGAAATATGAGCGTTTTAGTCACTCATTGTTTCTAATGCATGTTTGTGTGTTCCCTACAGGTTGCAATCAAATTAATCGAAACTCGTAGGATTAAGGAGGAGTACTTGCGGCAGAACATGCACAGGGAGGCCCGGATACTGGGGCAATTGAGACATCCCAACATCATCCGACTGTATGAAACACTCAAGGTAAGAACTGCCTAACTTCATTAAGCTCTCATGAATTCATGTTTTGGGCTAATTCTACTGAATACAAAGCTGTGTTGTGCATGACTATCCAATAATGCTGAAATGTATTAAAAGGTGTGGGGTTTTTTTTAAATGTCCATGTTTGGGGCTGACTTTGCTGAAGGCTGGACATGTGGACATATGGATTTTGTTTGAGATTTTTTCAGAGGAATATTTGTTTCAAACAGCATCCTATGTAAATGTCTCTGTTTTATTTTGTTTTGTCTAAGGTAAGGCTTTCAAAATACTTTGTTATAACAAGTTAAGGAAACATTTGGTATGCTATAAATTCATATGATAGGTACACAATTAACCTGCAAAAGCTGTTTGAGAAAGAATGATGATACATTTTATTATGTTAACTGTTAAACATGAAAAAAATCACATTACCATAATCAGGGTTCTTTGAAGAAGCCTAAAGATTTTGAATATCACATGATATGTACAGAACTTCATCATCAGTATGCTCATGTATGATGCTCTCTCAGATTATGAGTGGTTGTATCTGCTGTCAATGGGAAATGTGATTAAAATGTCAAAGGCACTTGATACTGAAGATGAGGCCCTTTATCTAAATATATGTCGGTCTTCAGGATACTTGTGTACATGAATCCATGTGGGAATCTCTCGTTCCTCATACTTACAGGGAGAAGGGGGCTTAGCTTGTCGTTAAAGCATTGTATGACACCGACGCCCTGGGTCTGGCTTGATACTACTGAAATATTGCTATAAGGTCACTCACTCACTCACTCACTCACTCACTCACTCCTCACTCCTTCACCCACCCACCCACTCCTCACTCACTCACTCACTCACTCACCAACCCACTCCTCACTCCTCCACTCACCCACTCACTCACTCACTCACTCACTCACACTCACTCACTCACTCAGCCACCCACTCACTCACTCACTCACCCACCCACTCACTCACTCACTCACTCACACTAATACATACCCAGGAACAGGTTAAAGCTCGTAGTCAAAATGTGTAACACTGTGTCAGCCTACTGTAAACCAGTTTGTTTTTTCTGCGTGATTTTGACCTGATTACTTATACACTTCTCCGACATAAATGTAATAAAAGACATGAAGGTATGGTACCACAAATGATTATAGCAGTACAACTGTCAAAAGTATATATTTAGGTGTAAGAGACAGACAGTCATATAAGGCCGTGACTGATTTATGTCAGGTATCCCTCGACAGTTACTCCCCTAAACACCACATCAATGTTCATTTTGAAATGTCAAAATCCCCCAAATCTATTCAACAATGCTCATTTAACCCAATTTAAAAGTTTAATATCAGTACATTTCGCTTCTGCAAATATTTTATCATCATTATCATTTAATCAGACACCATTTAGGATTAACCGTATAAAGATCTGAACCTGTAGCACTGAAATCTCATTGAAACGTGTTCTCAAATACCACAGAGTGAAGTTGGCTAAGACGAGGGGAGGTGTTATCAGTGACAGATGACAGCATCCTGTTACACTGCATGACGATGGTCGTCAGTATCAGTGTTATGTAGTATATATCAACACTGTCATACCTGTCATTTACAACTTTGCCCAACAATGGTGTCATCGCCACTCAGCAATATTCCAGCTGTTTGACGCAATCGACCAAGTCACCGAGTCTGGTCAACCCATCTCTATGACATGCACAGGTTGCTGAGCACCTTGTCTAACATGGAATCCCAGGATGTATTTGAAAATGTACATAAAAAATATCAATGAATATACAGTAAACAAAAAAAATTCATCAATCCTAATGGCTGGCTGTACAATGTTTTCTGTGTTCAAAACATCATCAGAAGAGATGTGCCAGAACAGATTCCATGAAAGGGAAAATCTTGATGATAACTGGATTGGGTGGTCAGGCTTGCTGACTTGTTTCATGCATCAGTATATACCAGTTGTGTAGATCAGTGCTCATGATGTCAATCACTGGATTGTCTTGTTCAGACTGGATTATTCATAAACTGCTTTCATATCGCAGGAATATTGCAGAGAGCTGGGTTCAACAACAAACTGAATAATGTCATTAGCAGACCCATGACATTAGATTATGTTCTTTCATTTACTTCTTTCTAGTGGCCCTAGGGAAGTCTTTTGGTCATTGTCAGGTCAAAGGTCAAGGTCGCAGAGGGGAAACACAATTAAATATTTACGGGTAAACTTTGTCAAATGTATTTGTTTGTCAATAATTTTAGAGGATATGCTGCAATGGTCATAGTTCACATGCTATGAGAAAATCAAAGGTCAAGGTCACACAATAGAAAAATCTCAATGATAATTTATGCGTATACTTCTCTGAGAAGTACTAAATGTGTTATTCATAAAACTAAGTACATGGGAAGGGGCCAAGTTCTGGAAAGTTTTTGTTAAAAGTAATTAGTCAATGTCAAGTTCAACTTAAACATGATTACATTATCATCAGTTTTTGGCCATCAGTCTTTGTATGTGCATGTCTAGTTAGAAATACCCCCTCATAGAATATTTGTTACATCTCTATTACTGGTATGTGCCTTTTCTGATATTTTTCGTTTTATTAAGTTGTGTTCCATGTTTGCTTTACATTCCTTAGATGACCTTCAGAAGTTGTCTTCATTGAGGTCAAGGTCAATGATTATGGTTTACAGATTGGAAATACAAGGCACGACTCTCATTTTGAGAGTTTCAAAGATACAGCTGTGTGCTGCTCCATTTTTCCACACATATATTTTCTTTCAGTGACATTTGGCTTGTATCTGTGCTACTACATTATTTAATCCAAAATATGTGCAGATATCATCTACAAGAGAAGTTAAGGTTGATAATAATGAATAATGTGCAAAACCTTGTGTAATAAATAACTAATGGCGCTCATTGAGCATTATGTGTACTTTAGTCTATTGGAAACCGACAAGAAAACCATGTATATTTCATTGTTTGTTCGTTGTTTTGTGAGCAACATGCTTAGTAACTGATGGTAGCAAGATGCTCTAGTAGAAGGCATAAGCCACAAGGAGATCAGGATTAGGGCAGGTCTTCAGGTGGCAGCTAGTGGGATTGGGTGATCAGGTTCACTGACTAAGTTGCTACATTTCAGTTTATCCCTGATTGTAGATCGATGCTTAGTGATGTCAATCAAAGGATTGTCCCGACATTTTTTAACAGACCATATTATGGCTAGAAAATTGCTGACTGTGGTGTTACAAAAAACAACAAAACAAAGCAGTATGTTTTTCTTGTATCATTAGAGATTACTATTTCAGTGAGAGTTAGATACCGTCCACCTGTCCTTAATGAGCTATTTTATGATGTATCTGACAAGCAAAGTGAGTTAGATAGATTTCAAAACATTACTATATAAGTGCAATAATCCTTAAACAAGATATTAAAACTTGTTTAACCTTATCTCTTACATTCAAGGGCGGTGGGGTAGCCTAGTGGTTAAAGTGTTCCCTCATCACACCGAACACCCGGGTTCGATTCCCCACATGGGTACAATGTGTGAAGCCCATTTATAGTGTCCCTGCCATGATATTGTTGGAATATGGCTAAAATGACGTAAAACCAAACTCACTCACTCTTGAATTCAAAGGGATAGGTAGCACTGAGGTTAAAGTGCGCACCAGTTTTAACATTTAGATTTGTTTCAACACAGAAGCCCATTCTTACTTTTATAACATGCTGCAGTATTGCTGAAACCAGTGTAAAACCTAGTCTTGCTCTTAAATTCCCAACATCCACTTTTTGGTTATTTTTCTTCTGTCCAAATAAACCAACCCATCAGGCAGTCAGTGGAAAGTGGATGGATGTGAGGTTGTAATTGACCTGTGTAATATTTTGATTGGCAGAATCTTCAATCAGCTCCACTACCATATATAAAATTAAAGTGTTTGATAAATATTGAAATTGACAAATGTTTTGCAAAAACATCATCCCACCAGCTGTTTGTTTGAGAAATGGACTTGATAATGCACAAGGTATTTACTCTATTGTCGATTGCTTCATCTAATCAGGAGGCAGATAATCTGGTCATCTTGCCTCATATTACATTCATATCACCACACCTCCACAAGGTCTGATAACACTGATGGATGGTAATCCTTTTATAGCAATAACGCCCAAAGCTGTGACAGATTGTTGGCTTTATATTTAAAGAGGAATATCATTGCATTCAGGTATTTTTAGAGAAAAGTGCGAGACAATGAACATGATTTAGGATTACATGTTTTGCTTCAATTGCAATCAACATTATACATTTTAATTTTTAATCAGTGTCAATCTAGTTTTTTTCACATTTGCTACTGAAGCTTGTAACAAGGCAGAAAATGTCAGTATGATAACGTTCCTTCAACAGTATACATTCAGTTCTAATCATTCATATTCACAGCACATGCACCATCTTCTCATCCATCCTGAAGCATATGACAAAAGGAACTTAGAAAAAAATCTATATGCTTTTCGTGTATTTACTTTTCTCATGGCTATGTGATAAAATGTGAGAGATTATCTGGGGTGAAAATACCAAGATGACATGGTGTATGTGTTGGGAAAACTTGAGACATGACCCTTATACAATCTGGTAATCGACGACTTTGTTGTTGAGTGGCGGCTGTCTTCACAGGCAGGTATGGTGGTTACTGCAATCGACATGGTTTTGTTACCAAGCATCTATGAAGGGAAGAAAAATGTCTCATTGTAAGAATCCGGAAATTTGTCACTGTGCTTTGAAGGGATTTATTTAAAGAAAGCATGCTGATTAATATTTTTATTAGTTTGAAGGAGATATTGTTTAGAACATTGAAGAGGCTTGCTTACAGTTCTGACAAATTTGCTACAAACAAGCATGTCAAAGAATTCTATCTTAAATTTATACTCGTTTTGAGTGAGTGAGTGAGTTTGGTTTTACACCGCTTTTAGCAATAATATCCCAGGAATAGCATTGTGGGGGTCTCCAGAAATGG